ACGTACGTCGTACTCGTACTAACACTCCTTCTCTCTCTCTCTCTCTCTCTCTCCCTCGTCGTCACCCTTCCCGAGTATCGCGCTTTTCGCAGCCGATTTTCCGTCGGTGCGAGTCTCGCGATCGTCACTTTAGATCGTTCCCAGAAATCGGCATCAATATTGCACACAATTCCTGTTATTTTAATATTATTATTATGTTAAATTCCTTACAATCTTGTAAGTCTACTAACTTTTACGAAATATATAATATGAATAGTTAGGAATGCAATATTTCAAATATAATTGCGTAAATAAGTTTTAATAAATAAGCTTTCGTATCTTTTTATAAATTTATTTATTCGGTAGAATCGACTTAATCAAATTCAATCTTATTTACAATTATGTCAAATTATCGAACGGTATACTCATTATGAAAGTAACATATTCAGCTGTCAGCTAGAAAGATTTAGCTGCAACTTAATAACATTTTTTTCTGTAATAAATAATGAATCGCACGGACACAACCTGTTCTTTGGTATGCAAACGAACGCACGAATAAACGATGCGATTAGGGTACGATTAAGCAATCGCGGGAGATACATCGTGAGGCCCGCGTGCGTGCACGATAGGTGAAATATAATTTATATTTATATCGCGTAATGCCCCGCGTATACGTCGTCCTGAGGCCCCTCCGGGGATCTTGAACCCGTTCGTGGTATAAATAATTGTTGTCTCTGGTTTTCGTCGCCGGAGGCGGGCGATTCATAACTCAGGACGCTCCCTGTTGATTCCTTAATTTCCGACGAGATGCGGAAGGTCAATCGCCACTTTTAGCGACGGTAAGGAGCGTTATTTCATTACATTATATTCTTTAATATGTACGCTAATACGCCAATAAAATATCGGAATTCATCGAATGAAATACCAGGCAAATCTCTTATATATGTACGATAACTTCGAACGCGGTGGAAAGAGAGAAGACGCGATCGTTTTTTGGTCAACATGCATGCGACGTAATAAAGAATTGGATATTATCTAGAAAAGAAATTTAGTCATTGGTATTCGACAAAGTTCTTATATGGTAATTTTATCATCGATGTGTATAATGAATTTAACTTTATACTTATATATATATATATATATACGAGCGTTGGAACGTGTCTTCTCTTTTTGTAAAAAAATACTTCATATACTTCGGAGAGATAGGGCTCGCTATCGAGAAACCGACCTTCGGCGATGAAACTCTTTGACGAATACAAGACGGAGAGCGACTCCCAGCGTGCTCGACAATTTCGCTTCTCAATGG